ATTGCAAACAAACTTGAATCATTGTGTGAACACGGACAGAATTTAAAAACCGAATCCTAACCCCGTCTTCCATATCCACCATAATCTTTGCCTTTCCTAATTTGCACTGTTGCTTAACAACCATGGGAGAATTTTATGTTGTATTCTAGTTTAACAGGGCTATAATGGAACAAATTTTGATGAAAGCAAAGTAAGTTGATGATATTTTAACTGTTTGGAGATACATTTCCGTCTAAAAAATGTGGGTATAATGGATGAAACAATTTAAGATAATTAGCAAATAATTTAAATTAGTGAAATTAAAAAAATATAAAAGAAAAAATTTCCAGCTTTTCTTTAAAATTTCCAGGTTTTCCAGGTTTTTATCCATATTTCCCTGATTTTTCCAGGTTTTTCCAGTATAAAAAAAATTCCCTGATAATTCCAGGTTTTCCAGGTGGGTGGCCACCCTGATTATTTTAATCAACTCTGTTGTTTTTTTTGTTTTTTTTTAATAATTTCTATAATTCATCTAAAAATACTAGGACAAAAATTTTTTGAACAAAATTTAAATTTTAAAATATAAAATTATGCTTTATTTAATAAAATATCAAGAGCATCAAATTTTTGTTTTTAGAATTTTATTACTTCTTTGATATTAAATAAAAATATTTTTTTCTTCCTTTTCACATTTTACCACATAAACATATAAATAAAACTTATATGAATAAATTTAAAAATATAACTTATCTTTTAACTATGAGAGGAGTTATTAAGGAATATCACAAATTGAAATAAAAATCATTATCTTAAATTCTATTTTTTTTCCAACTTATATAAAAATCAAATAAAATTTATAATATTTATATTTAAGGGATTACCTGTATGTGAATACATTTTTCTCATTTCTTTAAAAGTTATAATACTTATCCGAATTATTTAACTAATTAATTTATTGAAAAGAATTCCGAAAGTAAAAACAAAATTTCTAAGGATTTGGTAGTTCTAAAATTAAAGAAATTTCTTTTTATATGCAAGCATTGAATTTCGATTTCCAGTTTGGTTTCTGGATATTTTCAACCTTCACAATTTCAATGGATTTTTGTAACATTTCTATTAAATTTTAAGGGAAATTAAAATTTCATGCATCTTAAATTAAAATTATATATATATATATATATATTTTTTTTAAACATTTTTAAAGAAATTTGAAGTTATTATTTTATAAATTTTTTTTTTTGTATTTGTACTTTTTACTCATACTTTTTAAAATCAAAATTTTTTACTTTTGTTGAAAGTACATGAACTTTTATTCGTTAATTTTAAAAGTAACGCTCACGTGTGTGTAATGTAATAATGCATCATAGAAACAAGTTACAATAAATAAAAATTCTCAGTTTTAAACTCTTAATTACAATCAAAATAAAATACGTAATAATAGCAAAATAAAACAAGAAAGTATATCAATCATTCAAAGTAGAGCAGAACTGTCTTTACGCATGGGCACACCCGGGCACCCTTGAGAATCACACTTTTCATAAATTGTATTAAAAAAAAAAATTAAGAGCAAAAACATTGCATTATACATTTTTTTTATAAATGTATTTCCTTGTAAAAAGTGTATTTTTTTTCTGTAAATAATAATTGATTATCATGCAATCACCAATAATTTGAATAGTTTATCACCAGGAAAACTTAAAAAAAGGCAACCGAAATATATTTTTCCACATTAAAATATTCTTAGGTACTCAACTAATTTCTCTAAATATGCTTGACCACCACCAACTCTGTTTACTACACATAATTAGTTAAATAAAGTAATAATTGAAAGAGTTTAAAATTACAGAGCACTATGGGACAGCAACTTTTAAACTAGTTATGTCTGATGTGCTTTGAAAGATGTTTTAATAACTGACTAGTGTGACGAAATAATTCATATCTTCTAAATTTTTTACTTGTTATGTTTTTTTTTTTAATTTAATATTTTAACTAGCTTCTTGGTTTTGAAAAATATTTTATTATTTGAGGACTGCAACTGGTTATCATAATTTTTTTTTTTAAATTATGCATAGCTTAAAAATGTTTCATTTTACGTGCATTGAGTTTTTGGGGGTGATAAAAATATGTTTAATTTTGTTGAAAATTATAGCATATTTTAAAAATACTTTATGTATGTGAAGTTTTTTAGTTCGATTTTTGACATGTTATAGGGGCATAAAAATTTTCCGTGACCGGGGGCCCTGCTTGCTATTAAGACGGCCCTGAATTATGGAATAAGAGAAATTATTATTACAGGAAAACAAACCGCACTGATTCATTAATTTTATACTGAAGATAAAAAAACAAAACAAGGAAGTCAATGCGGAGAAATTGAATGTAATTTTCAGGCCAACAAAAATGTACCAAAAACAATGAAAAACTTATACACCACTATTAGATTTTCATACATATGGTTAGATGTATCTTACTACTATGTTTTTCCCTTTTCAAACTGATTATTGTTTTATTCCTGCCTATTGTCATCAACAAAGTATTCACACAAAAATTCTTAAACAAGACTGACTGTTACAAGTTAGAAAATAAGAAAAGAAACAGTACTATATCATGCAAACTTATAGCTGCCAACATGGATAAGAAAAAAAATCCAGTAGATTTTACGAAATAATATAAATTTCATGATAATTGTTGCATAATGTACTAAATATTTTACACATAGGGTATTTAAGGGATTATTACAGTCATCAAAATAGAAAAACTGCAATATTTCCCCATTATGATTTTTGACATTAAATGTACTTGAAATGCTATGTATTATGTTTACTCTTAATTTTTATTAGTAATAGGTATTTAATTCATCAAATATAGCTTTTAATTCATTTAAAAAGGGAGTTCTGAATAAAACAAACTGAAAATTTTAGAACAAAAAGTTTTAAACTGATTTCTATACGGTAGGTCGGCTTCATTATCTATTAGTAATGCCTACTTAAATATTCAAGCAAGCAATAATCTTTGCAAAAATGCTATATCAATAAGAATTTTTCTTTACAAAACTTACTCAATTTTAGGGAAATTTCTAAAAATGTACAAAAACCAGGAGAATTTTTATTCAACCAGTAGACCAGGAGAAACTGACGAAATCCAGTAGAGTTGGTAACTATGCAAACTGATTCAAATAAACTTCTTTCAACAATATTTGGAAGAGGAAAAGTATTTATTACAATATACCGATGAGCCAATGAAAATTTTATTTTAATAGAATAAAGGCAATGCCATTTTTTTTAAATAAACAGATGTTATAATTTTTTTCCCAATTTGGTTTAGTTGCTTAATTTTACCTCAAATCTTGGGTTTATATATATAAACTTTAGGAAAACAATAAACATGGAAGGGAAATCTAATAAAAAAATGAAACTAATTAACAAAATTAAAAAAAAAAGACAAAAAAGTAATTAGCATTTAAAATAATAAATCAAAATAGAAAAGCGCTTAAAATAGCTAAGTCCAAATTAGTTTTAATTTATAAAGTCAGAAATTTTTTTTTAGCAGAAAGCAACAAAAATTATAGAAATTTAAGATATGTGTGCTAGTAGGACAGTGCTGCATCCTGCTAACACACAGGAGCCTCCTTTATGTTATCAGTGGTGAAACCAAAAACTGACAGTGCCCCCCTTCCCCGAGGCCCCACAACGGAAAAACAAATAATAAAAAGCAATTAGAAAAAGTGAAATGTAAATTCAAACTAAGCCATAAAGAGACCCACAAATAAGAAAAATAAAGATAAAGTTACACTTAGTAGAGCCACATCAAAATAAAACATAAATTGCCACATCATTAAGAAAACTTTAGAAATAAATCAAGTGCTGACCCCTTTTTTGAAAAATCTTGAAAAAATAAAACAGAAAAACATTCAATGTGTAAAAGTTTTTTAAAAAGGTACTGCCATCTATATGGAAGGAACTCTGGAATGGAAACTCTATATGAAAGGAAGCAAGAGCTATTAACTTTTTATGTGTGTTCATTTATCAGGGGTCTGTCGAGGTTTTTTTTTTTTTTTTTTTTTTTTTTTTTTTTTTTTTTTTTNTTTTTTTTTTTTAGAGGTACCTATTTTGTGAAAATTTAGACATAATTTGTGAACAGGAAAAGTTACATTAAAAATTAAGACCAAGATATGGTAAAATAAGAAATTGTTTTCAAAAATTGTCACTACAAATAAAAATAATTTATGACTGGTAAATTTCTATATATTTTTCCCTATATATTAAAAATTAATTTTGCTATTGTAAAATGTCAAGCTTAAAATTGTATCCAAATTTAAATATCCATTGTCCATAGTTAAATTTAAACTTGTATTTAGAATAACTAGAACTAAAAGTTATTTTCATTATGAGAACATTCATTATTTTCGACTAGGTCACACAGAAAAAAGTTTCATAGGGGAAAAAAATTTAGTAAAAAATAAAGGTCTCTCAGAATAAATTTACAATAATGTTAAGGATAATGTTCGAATGTTGTTCCAATTTTGACTTCCTGTATAGTTTATAGAGTGAGAACCTCGTTCCATTTTAAAAAAAACTCTGGGATTTATAGTTTTTTCATGGGGATACAAAAGCAAAATTTTAAGAGGAGAATTTTAGAACTTGCTTTTTTCTAAAGTTGAATTTGTGAAGGTACCGCTAAACGGTAGTAAATTTGCCCAGGACAGACCCCTGTTTATGAAAAGGTTACAATTTTGAATCTAAGCTAACTGAAATTGCTTGTTTTTAGTTCTAATGCTCAAGAAAATGTTACTTTTTTTCTCCTGCAAATACAGTGACTGTTTATTTGTATTTTTAATTATTTATATCTAAAATTAATTTAAAACATTTTATTGATTTTCACCAGACTAATATTGCTACGATGTTTAGTAGGCATGATCTACAATGTTTAGTAGGCATGATCTACACACAAAGCCTCATACTTAAAAGTTTACGACAAAGATCTTCTACTGAATCAAATGATACATGAAAACTTTAAACACTCACCAACATGTGCAAATGATGAAAGAAGTCAACAATGAGTGCAGTGAGTTCGAATCCAAGTTCTGTGTAATAGACGTAAGTGGCTCTCTTCTCCCAGGTACCTTCACGCGTGGCGTCCAATAAGTGAAGAGCATACCTGCAGAAAACGCCATTACATTAACACAACAGAGAAAGAAAAACACACACACAATTAATAACTTTTGAATTAGTGATACGATTTCCTATCTTAATGAATGAAATAGGTGATCTCAAATAAAATTATTATTTAGAGTGGGCAATACAGTCGGACCTCTATTTAACAAAGTCGCCAAATCCCGATAAAAAGTTCGTTGTATGGAAAATTCGTTAAATAGAAAATTACCTTTTAAAATACTTAAACACACAACAGGTTTTAAATTCATAAACACTAGTCATTAATTGATGCACCTTTATTTTGTAAACTAGTATCTACTATTTATCTTATAAATCTTAACCATAAAAGAAATTCGAATAGAAAGCAAGAATAGAGCAAAACATTATCCAGTGTTACACTATCATGCTGCATACATTCGCAACTAAAAAAAGCTAAATGTATGTATAAAATTATAACTGCATTTATTACTAAAGTAATTTTAAACATACATTACCACATGTGTTCTTAAGTTTAATTGCTACTGATAAAATCCGTTAATTTAGACGGAGTTTTTCGTTTGAAATGCAAGCAAAAAGGGAAAAGGATTTTACTGCTTTCTATAAAAAAAAACTTTTAGAGAAAGCAGTAAAACATTACATAAAGCAGTGGCTTCGAAAATTAAATCAGTTATTTCACCCATAAAATGAGTTAACAAGTTTGAAATATTTTGGAAAGTAGGGAAAGTGGATCTCAATGAAAAGTTCATAAAATAGAAAATTCTTTTCACTATTTGGAAGTTATTTTACGAAGAAATTTCCAAAATGTTCTTGGTTCCTCGAAAAAATTCGCAAAATGGAAGTTTGTTAAATAGAAGTCAAACAGCATTTTAAACTACGGAATCAGTCACAAACGTACTCTTTCTCAATAAATATGCTTCTTTTTGAGGAATTTTAATTCCTGAGCTTCAAATTATGGGAGCTAGCCACATTCTGGGAAATAGGGTCCCAACAGTTTAGGCAGGTGAGCGGTCGGTAGTTCAGAGCTCTTAATGACGACTTGGAAAATTTTGCCATCTCGAGAACTTTTCAAGTGGATCTAAAAAATTTTGCACCAAACTTAGGACTGCTCTCCTGACCAAATGGGACCCTATTTTACCCCACTTTTGGCTACCTCTTTATATTTCAGGGGGAAGGGGAAAAAAAGGATTGGTGAGAATGGTTTCGTTAATTTTATTCAGCATATTTAATTAGATCAATTGTCAAAGATAAAAAAGAATTTATAATTAAAACTTTACTTTAATAAAATTTAAACAAAATCATAAGCATCCAGAATTATAATAATACAGGATAAGAGACGTCAAACATAAGAAAAAGTGCAAAGCGAAGAGCAAAAGGGTGTAGGAACAAACTTTTGCAACGGTATATATACATTTCATCTGCTCAGTTCAGTTTGTAATACTTCAAGCCCTGCATACTAGTTTACAGGTTCGTCGTGTACACCAAAACTTTGGTACTAACTAGTATGTTGGTTACACCACAATGGTATGTTTGTTCAGAAAAAGTATGTTTTTTTTTGTCTGATTTAGCATTAATTCAAGTAATAAAGAAGTTCTGAGAGAGTTCAAACTTCTGTGCTGCCTAGCATTGACTTTAGACTCTAGAAAGCCCCAAACACAATAGTCTTAAGAATTTAGATCTGGTGAAAAGGGGGGGGGCTAATCTTCTTGCTTAATAAATTTCAGACAACTGACATGGAGTCGAGCCTATATTGTTTTGGCTCGGTGTGACAGTGCAGTATCTTGCTGAAAAATCCAATCCTTTCTGGGATAAAATCTCTCAGTACATGGCAATAAATGTGTAGCCAATACTTCCTTTTTGTAATATTCAGCATTGATTTTTACCCCTTTTTCAATGAATTTCAGAGGATATTTTCTGTTATTTGACACTGTAGCCCAAACCATAACAGAATGCTTGTTCTGAAAGCGTTTCACATTTTTTAAACACTTTCGGGGATATCATCAAAGATTGCCGAATATACAAGATTTTTATCATTAGAACTTTGTTGTGTGTAAAACATTTTCTCATCAGAAAAGATTATTCTGTCAACACTTTTGTCACGGTGCTGATTCAGCAATTTCTGACATCTGCGTAACCTGTCCAGTTTTCGCACAGCTGTCAAACCTTGAACTTTCAGGGCAAAAACCCAGGTCATCATTTAATACAGCTTGCATTATTCTTTGACTCACGTTCCTTTCCCAGGGGTCTGTCTAGGTTTTTCCGAGAGGTACCTTATTTTGAGAAAATTTAGGCATAATTTGTGAAAATTAGAAATTATATATTAAAAAATCAACACAAAAATAAAGTTTTAAGAAAAAGTAGTTTGTGAAACTACCATTTTCCCAAAATTTTATTTGTGTACGTAAGGTTGTAAATTTGGATTGGACAGACCCCTGCTTCTGCAGCCAGTTTATTAACAGAGCATTGTAGATTTCTTTGTATTTTTTCGTAAATTTTTCTACAACGAACTGGGCGTGCAGTATCCAATAATCAATTTATAAATCCATACATAAATGTTCTATTAAACGCCTGAGAATTTAATTGTTTAAAGATTCTACATGCAGAAAATCAACAATTGCAAAGCTTTTTACCCTTTTTGAATCCATCTTTAAATTTATTTTAAATCTTTTGATTTCAGCAAAAATCGTCCGCACTTATAGAAAGTACCCATTACAGGAATAGTGAGAGAAGAATTGTTTTATCAAACCATTAAAATTAATTCCTATTTCTTTTTAGTGTTACAGTATTTAGTATCCACCCGGTAATTATGATCCGTTCTGCTTAAGCATCAATTTTGTTCTACGTAATTTTTGCATCCAATGTTTCTACTCCAATTTGTTTGCTAGTTATGATATCATACAAAGAATTTGCTTTTAAGTAACTTGAAACTTCCATTATGCAAAATTATATCATTCTTTCAACTTCTCAATATTAATTACATCACATACATTTTTTTCTATGATTTTTTACTCTTCAATTTTATGGATCTGTTGATCTGTACTGGCATTTGCTTGGTGCAGTGGTTTAAGGAGAAATAAATTGCAGATTCGTTGACAAACGAAACATTTAATTCAATATAAACATACGCAGAGTAGATTTTAGATTTCATTTTTCAAAGTTGTTACTTTTTACTTTCATAGAACATTTCAGCAACATTTGTTTTAAGAAACTGCAATATTTTTCTCATTATCATGGGGAACAGCATAGATGCATACTTGTTTCTAGTCTCCAATGTACATAATTTAGTCTAACAAATCATAGAACCCACTCAGCGATTAAAGAGCAAGAAAAAGTTGATCTCCTGTATAAATTTTAATCAGTATTTCCTCTCTACCAAATTGATTAAGTTAGCCTACCGCTTTTTCATAGCCATCTTCAACAAAAAATAAGCACCTTTTAAGTAATTTTTAAGAACTCAAAAAATATTTTTAAGCACTATATACATTAACAAAATGCAAAATAAGTTTCAAAGATTTTACATGATCATGAAAAATAACTAGTTTCTGACAAAGAACTCTTTTCTTGATTATATTAGCCATTAAAAAATGATTGAGAGATTTTTTTGGTTTGATTTCAGAGGGTGGAAAATGAAGCTTGAAATTGAGAATATCTTGCAAAATGCAGCAGAGTTGCACACGAGAGCGCAATAATCTCACCGAACCCAGCTCACTATACGTACAGTATTTTATCAAACCTGTAAAATGATTGGCGCTTTCATAAACTAAGGACCGACGATATGCCGAAATAGAATTTGGTTGAATGAATTGTGAAAGCCTTGAATACAACAATCTGAAAAGCACACTTTTCCAAAATATGTGGAGAAAATTGTCACGGTAAAGAAAGACTAATAGTTTGAAAAGGTAANAACAATCTCCCTCTCTAACAAATCATAGAACCCACTCAGCGATTAAAGAGCAAGAAAAAGTTGGATCTCCTGTATAAATTTTAATCAGTATCTCCTCTCTTCCAAATTAAGTTAGCCTATCGCTTTTTCATAGCCATCTTCAACAAAAAATAAGCACCTTTTAAGTACTTTTTAGGAACTCAAAAAACATTTCTAAGCACTATATACATTAACAAAATGCAAAATAAGTTTCAAAGATTTTACATGATCATGAAAAATAACTAGTTTCTGACAAAGAACTCTTTTCTTGATTATATTAGCCATTAAAAAATGATCGAGAGATTTTTCGGTTTGATTTCAGAGGGTAGAAAATGAAGCTTGAAATTGAGAATATCTTGCAAAATGCAGCAGAGTTTCACAAGAGAGCGCAATAATCTCACCGAACCCAGCTCACTATACGCACAGTATTTTATCAAACCTGTAAAATTATTGGCGCTTTCATAAACTAAGGACCGACGGTATGCCGAAATAGAATTTGGTTGAATGAATTGTGAAAGCCTTGAATACAACAATCTGAAAAGCACACTTTTCCAAAATATGTGGAGAAAATTGTCACGGTAAAGAAAGACTAATAGTTTGAAAAGGTAAAATTTAGCACTATTTTAAAAGACCCAATGAAAATTAGCACCTTTTAAAAACGCTACGCACCCTGTCCATTAAAACCGGAAGTTGAATTTAAGGATATCAGTATTTCTTGACAAAGTATACTCCCCAGAATCTAATTTCTCAAAACTTGCGCATTTTATAAGTTTCAGTTTTAAGAGATGCCAATGATCAATATATGCTTCTTATTAATCAAATTCAACCTTGCATGCTGCTTCATCAACTTCACTAGCATTATGATATTCTCTGACTTTCATTAGTTTGCTTTTTTTCCAAAGAGTATAAGTGTAATTAAATTGGCATCACAGAAGAAATTTCCACTCGAATAAATCATTTAAAAAATTTAGACTTACTCGATCACAGATTTAACCACCATTTTCCAATACCTTAAAAAAAAATTTATTCTCATATCTGAAGAACTTTAAATTTTTAAAATTTTAATTCTTGAAAACTTCGAGAAGATTCAAAAATCATTTTTTGATGAAAGAGATTTCTTGCAACCTAGAAAGAAAAACACCATGTTTGAAAAGAAGTGGCTGAATAATCCATTCCCAAAGAAGCAGACATGTAAGATGTGGGTATAATTATATAAGCTCATAACATAGGAAAGAACCAATTAAAATGAATCCTCAAAACATAATATTTATTGAGGTAGTAGATACAGGGTATCTGCTACATTTTAGATGTTCAAATTCATGACTTTTCATGACTCATTCCGAGAATTTTTCATGACTTAATAAAGTTACTATTTTCTCCGACAGTAACACTAAATTAAAAAAAAAGCATTATAATAACATTAATTGAAATAATAGGCATAACCAAAACTATCATACTCTGCATCGTTTTCTGCAGAATTATATTCTAAACATACTTTTCTTGTTCATCAGAAAGGAAAGAAATACTCCTGATTTTTCTATTCTCAATTTGGAATTTTTTTAAAACATTTGCCAATGAATGACTTGCTTTAGCTAGAATTTTAAATTGATAAAATAAAAAAAATAAATAACAAAAATTCTGAAGTCACAGAAGTTTAAAAGATAATTCAACCTAGAAATGTTTTTTCTTCATTTTTTGAAAGAACATGATAAAAACTTTTTATACTTTAATAAAATATGACTCAGTGTGGGGATTTTGTTAGATTTTAGATTAAATTAGATTTTTCGGCGACCTAAATCCACGATTTTTTTTTTTTTAAATAACAGTTTAGATCATGATAAATTTTGTTCAATACCGGAATTCATGACTTTCCAGGTGCGCAGGTACCCTGTTGTTACTGTGGACAGTGATGTTTCACTAATGTGGTGATTGGAAAAAATATTAAAAGGGGCATTTGGAGGGGAAAAGAAAGATAACGAGCAAAACTTCAGCATAACTAAAATCAAATGAAAAAAGTTAGACATTCGCTTAAAATAATTTATTTTTCAAGTAAACACATGTTATACAACTTTTAAAATGTTGGAACACATAACTTATTTTGACTGTAGTGTTAAAAATATTAGACTTAATTTTTTGTTATCACCCGAGGTTAGCATATTTCTCTTTAAGTTCATAATATTAAGTTTTAACTGTATCTGTAGTCATGTATTAAATACCATACTATAAAATCATGGATTAAAACTTACATTTTAAAATTGGCAGTCCACATTGAAAAAGTGACACATAGAAATCAATAACAATAAATTTTGCAGCTAGAAGTCCCACAATTTGGACTCAGTCCGAATAATACACAACAAATTTCCCTTTAGTATATTTATACGTAGACAAAATGAAAGTTATTTAAAACATTAACAATATATTAAATTGTAAAAACACAAGCACATTTTTAAAATTTTTGTTGCTTACCTAGCAATGACATAGAATGTTCTGATAGAAACTAAGGAACACTGAAATAGAAACATTTCCAACATTAATGAAACATACTAACTAACAATATAGATATTAAAAATACATTGTGCAAAATAATAAACAAAAGGCCCTGAATAACTTTCTAACGCCTTAATGATCAGATTTTCACTAGGACTCAACTTAATGATTCGAGGATCTCACACCAAATATGTAAATTAGTACAGATGATATCTTCAGTTATGAACAGGGATGAGAGTAGTCAGAAAGTAAAAAAGAGGAAATCCAAAAAACAAAAAAAAGAAAAGAAAAAAAAGAANATTACTTACTTGTCCCAGAACCAAAACATTTCCCCTCATATTGTTATTTGCCTGTTCCAGTTTCTTCTTAGTAAAATTATTTTGTACACATTTTTTTTAAATAAATACTATGCACTAAACTACGAATATGTATTCCTATTATTTACTAGTCCCAGAGCCACAACATTTCCCTGTCAAATCGTTAATTGCCTGTCCCAGTTCCTCTGAGTAATATTTCTGAGTACACTTTCTTTTATTACATAAATACTTAGTACTGAACTTTGAATATGCATTATTTATTTTAAGTGATTATAATATGTATTAATTACCATTTAGTGTTTTGAATTCACGTTATAAAAAATAAAGAAAAATTTTTGAAAATTTTATTTTGATAACTGTATGCATAAAGTGTTATTTGCCTGTCCCAACTTTTTATGAGTGAAATTACTGTGTTCGCATTTTTCTTAAATAAATACTATGTACTGAATATGTACTAAACTATGCACATGTACGTAATACTATGTACCGAACTTAAACTTTTAGGATGATTTCAAAAATTTGAACTAATTCACAATACAAATTATTGAAAATTTTATCTTCTCTTTGATTCTCAAAACGCATATTTTAGCGTAATGTAGAATATGTATATGTACTAAAATATCGAATATGTATAAACTAACGAATATGTACTGAACTATTTACATGTACATAATACTATGTACTGAACTTAAACTTATAGGATGACTTCAAACATCTGAACTAATTCACAATAGAAATTATTGAAAAGTTTATCTTCTCTTTGATTCTCAAAATGCATATTAATGTAGTTCAAAAACCCATTTTCAGTTCTTTTTTCGATTGTAGTATAAACTTTAAAAAGAAATTCTTCACTATTTTCCACATATCACGCATGCAAAGTGAGTGATGATGTGCAGACGCTGTTGCCAACTTAAAAATGGCTAATAGTAATAAGAAGGATGAGATTGTTAAAGAAATAAATAAAATGAATCGCTCAATAATAAAGCTAAAGAAAGAACCACGTCAATCTTTTTTACCTAAAGGAGTTTATCTATTTATTTATTATTTGAAAATGCTTAGTGGCAGGATTGAATGAAGGGCCCTCAGGCCGAAATCGTGCAGAGAACATCCTAACGCGGGGTCCTGCCTAGTTCTTGTGTTCGAAGGTCAACAAACTGGCAGGGTGCTTCTATTTCTCTAATTTTTTTTAGTTATTTCAAAGTAAATAAAATTAAAAACTGAAAAGTCGTGATCGATTTCTTATAAGTTGGTTCTTAGATTCATTGAGTACGAGCTTTTCTATTATATTTCACGTTTGAAATTCTCGCTGTAAAGGATCGAAAAACATGTTCTGAAGATTTCTTTTATAATTGTACTTACTTGCTTCAGTTTTTTACATTTGTAGATAAATTAAGCATAAATAATGTTTAAAATTGTGTTGCATTACTCGAAAAATTGGATTATTACAATTACTTGTCATAAAACATGTATAAACATAAAGTAATAAAAATAACGCTGTTTCAATTTCAAATTTTTTAACTCCCCTCACTTGAAAACAAATTATGGAATTCACTATACTTAAATTTTATTTTAAAAATAATATTTGATATAATTCCTGAAACATTAAAATCTTTTTAAAGTTCTTACTTAAATTCGGAACTTTTACAGTTGAAAATATTAAGATATATTCAGAATATATAATTTTGAAAAGTCGTGTCCAGTGTTGGGGATTCAAGCTTCAAAATAAATTATACGTTCATTTAAGCAACTAATTATTTTGAAATATGGGGAAACTTTGAATTTCAAAACGATTTTCTTCCACGTAATTTTAGAAAGTGTTTTTTTAAAATGACTAAGTATTTTTGATTTAACCATGTTCGGATATTAAAGGTTAGGTATCCTGTTAAATTTAAATTCAGGCTTTGGATATAAGACGTTGTATATACGTATAGATATATATATATAAAGATAGATACATAGATAGATATATTAAAAAAATTGACTCATTTTTATGCACAAAAGTAACAATTATAAAATTTAAAAAGAAAATTTTTCTTATTAATATATAAAATAATAATATTCTTTTATGTTATACAGAGGAATATGTAATTCTATTAATATGTCTATTCAATATATATATATGCATATATTTTAATTTTTTATTTTATAACCGCCGTTGAACAGCCGACCCAATTTTTTGGTTTAGGACTATTAATGTTCACCTACAAAGCCTTGTAATTTTGAGCCCAATCCAGAAGACAAGAGAACTCCTGACTCAAGTATTGGGAGAAATTGGCCTTCATATAGGATTTTTTGATGGAACTAACCCGTATTTGCGTTACATAGATAGGAAGACCTCAAGAACCTCCCATGGTCAGTCAGATGCAAGGGGACTCTCACCCATGATCCGTCTACCACTGAGGACATTTCAGGTCAGCACTGTGGTCGATGCAAGCCGGATGCGGAATTCGTATCGACCAAGCATCGCCAGGATTCGAACCGGGTTCACTCCATTATAAGGGGAATGCTCTACCTCCTGAGCCATCGCGGCTCATATACATATATATTTAAAAAATGACAAATTCCTCCATTTTCAAACTTTGTTCTTCCTTCATGACATAAAAAAGGATCTTAAAAAATGTGAAATACTTGGCAATAACTGAAAAAAAGATTAGAAAACATATTTATATGACAAAATCACACGAATCAAGCCTGTTAGAAAGGAGTTAATGTAAGTTTCAAGATTCATGTAGTAATAAATCTTATTAAAAATATAGATACTTTTAAAAATATGAGAAAATTAGCAGCGACAACTGCCGAAAAATTGGAAGAAAACAGTATAGAATTATCGCATTAAATAGTGAATATTCAGGATAGACAATTTGAATTTCCGTTTCACAATATTGGTATTTAACAAGACTAACTCTGATAATTGAAAAATTCGGTTAAAGCAAAGAATGAAAATGGAATGAAAAAGAGTAGGTGTAAATGTAATATACTTAACAATTACAAAGTATATACTAGTACATCACATACAATTCATTTTGTAACTAAAAAGGTTACTTAACACTTCAAGAGCATATTTTAGGAGAATTAAAGAGTTTTTACTTAAAAAAGCCCCTAATCGTTTTTTGTTTTACATTACTTTGGCACTTTTCTGCAGAAATGTTTAGTAATTTTTTAAAAGGTAATAAAAAGGCTGGTGCCATCTCTTCTTGTAATTCTATATATTCAATAGCACTTTTGATAGCTTTTTAGTGAATCTTTATGAGAGATTTTTACTTGTTGATTTTCATAGTCACTATCTTTATCATCTTCGTTAGATTCATTTTCATTAGGGACAATATTAACGATCATTTCATCAGTAAATCCGTCAGCTCGTTTTCCTAAGTGTTTGGTGGAGAAAAAATTCAGGATTGTTTTCTGCAATAGCTTAAAAAAATAAAAGAGCAAAAAAAAAAAATCCTTGAAATATTTGATAGCTCAGTTAAAGCAGAAAGTCAGATAATTGGGAATCCACTGTATATATAATTATACGGCAATTAGTTTTATTCAGTTTCACTTTTAAATATGATCATTATTCTGGTCCTTACGACGGATGACACCAAGAATTTTCCTATCGGCCAGGAATAGGGACACATATTTCTTTTATGGGATTATTTGGTAGCATTTTGTTTCGAATTAGAAACATTCTTTTTCAAATTCAGACGAGTTTTGAATCGCAAATTAAATTACATGAAATAATGTAAATTCAAAATTGTAATTTTAGAAGAGGCTGTGTCAACTTCTTCCAGAAAAAAGTGAGAAACTTTAACTGGTGATTCCAGTGTGCATGATCAAGAAACTTTTTGGTTTTGAATCACTTTGGCTTAAATGTTCATCATTTTACCATGTGTACAATGACTCTTAAAATAATCTATAAAATCTGCACCATTTGGACTCGATTCCTGCTCAAGCTGTCGAAGCTGGTTTTGTACACAGTTCAAAAAGTTAATTGGATGAATATGGAGCCTCTAGTGGAATATTATCTGAGGTTTCTTTGCAAAAGAAACTACAAATGATATCTTCTGCAACATTGATAAATTTTTGCAAATGACAGATGCATACAGTATCTCTTTGAGCTCAATATATTTTTGTATGTTTCCAACAGTTGTGCACATGTCATCCCAACCCTATCCCAATATTGTCTGTTTGCTACAGTGATTTCAGTTTGTCAAATGGACGGTACGTCTTCGAGTACTCGGCTGTGTTTGCAATGAGCTTCCTGCTGAGGCTCCGTCCTCTTCAAGCTGCAAGTTTCGACCCTTATCTTTTTGACAACCACAGCAATAAGTAATTGCAAAGAAAGTCTCAACACTTGTGTTGGTTGGCTTAGCATGAAAATCGGGGCTCCTTAGGAAACATTACAACATCTTAGGAAAACAAATAGCACACCGCAGTTTGACAGAATAATAACATCAGCAACACAACCTTCATAGAACAAGCAATTATACATGGTTGCTTCTTGAACCTATTTGTAATATCCTGGGTATTGTACATATCATTAAAATAAACAGGGTATCTGCTACACTCTCCATGAATAATTCCAACAATTTTTCATGACTTAACGAAGTTACTATTTTCTCTGACAAAAACACAACAATTTAAAAAAACATTTCAATAACATTAATTGAAATGATAGATATAACCGAAATTGGAATACTCTGCATCTTCATATTTATTGATTTTTATCTGCATCTTCATGTTTATTGATTTTTAACTTTAAAAAAAAAAAAGTAAAGAAAGAATTGAAGCAATAAAATAGCTGAAAAAAATACAAGAGCAAATTACTAAATACAGCCAGATGTATGCAGTTAGTTATATATGTTTCCTTTCTTCTTAAAAGTGTAATATAAAAAGCCTAAACTATAATTTTGAATTGATAAAAAAAAAACAATAAAAAGAATTATGAAATCACAGAAGTTTAAAAGATAATTTGCTCTAGAAATTATGTTCTTTCTTTCATTTTTTGAAAGAACACCATAATTTTTTTTAAAGAACAGGATAAAAATATTTTATGTTTTAATAAAATATGACTGAGTGGGGATTTTAATACAAATTCAGATAATCGGAACACTGTGAAATTGGGAGGGGACATTATTTATAAATTCCATTTTAAAAATTAGATTTTTCGGAGACCTAAATCCATGACTTTCCATGATTTTTTTTAAAAAATGGCAAAAATCAGGACATTTCATGACAAATTTTGCTCAATACTGAAATCCATGATTTTTCATGACTTTCCAGGTGCGCAGATACCCTGATATACGAAACCATAAAAAGTTTAGTTGCATACATCCTACAACTTAAAATAATTAAGTAACATATCTTTTGTATGTATCGTTAAATATCTAGAAAGGTAACAAAGTTGAACTTAAATTTTACATTCTGGTGGGTTAAGAAAAAGCGTAATGCAAGGGAAGAGCCAACTGATTGGTCAAACTATTTCCAACAGTAAAGAAGTTTCTTAACTTTGCACACTATGTGATGAGGTATAGTTTGTCTAAAATAAGAACTCCTCCCGACATTCATCTGGACCCGTGGCGGTGACTATGGTAACGAGGTATGACTATTTCACGTAGGGGTGCAGGGTCCCTGTTTTGGAGTGGTTTCGGGTCGAGAGAAAGAGAATCTCTTCGGTCTATTGTGTTAGTCCTACTCCTAGAGTGAGGCTACCCTCCCTAAAATGCGTCATTCTTGTTTCCATAGCACCAGGCGGCCTCAGACTTGGCGGTGGGAGGAGTTCTTAGCTTAGACAAACTATAGGCAATATTTGTAAGTGTGGTGATGCAGGATATTGGTGAAAGATGCAAGACCATCTTAATATTAGTACTACAAAACCAGGGATAAATTCAAGCGGCAGTACTTACCTCGGCGGCCATGAAGGCGAACGTATTGATTCCAGCGTGCAGTCCGACAAACACGCAAATTCCAAAGAGGCTAAAAGATATGCAGAGTATTCCGAACAGCAGCATTAGGACTCTGCAGTGCGTCCACTTGGGGGTGGCCGGAGAGAAAGACAACTGAAACGCAATAAAAACTTTTTTAAAATTCATTTTACACTTTTTTACATTAATCACTCCTATCATTGTTGTCGAGGGATACAATCTAAAATAATGAAAACTAACGTATACAATACGGGTAAAAAAAAACGAACACTGAATAAATCGGATGTTTGCATATAGGGACTCAATCTTTAAAAGGGTGATATGCTAATTGGTGCAGATGATATTTTAAGTTAAAAATATAGGTAAATAGGTACATACTTTACTTTCGTCGCTGTGGGGGGGGGGAATGATCATTAGACAATGTCAACCTTCATCTATCAAAAGGTACCTCAAGATTGACTCAAGTTAGCATGTCTTATATAATAGTGAATTGATGTTTAATAATCGTAGTGGTAGTTACGCTACAGTACTCCCAGGGTTGGCAGGTTTTTGACGGTTTAAACCGTCACGTCAAAAACCTCACTGTCAAAAATATCAATAACCTATATTCATATGTGAAATTTAGTTAATACATAAAATTTATATATGTTTATAAAGGATTTGTAGAATTAGCCGTACAACTCTTATCATGCCCTTCTAGTTCTGATTCAATAGAACGGATGTTTTCCAGTTTTGAAATAATTCATTCGAAACTCCGTAATAGATTAGGAACAGAAAAATGTTCAAAACTAGTTATGTGCTACCGTATGCTGCGAGGAGCAAATGAACTAGACTATTGAATTTTGAATTAAATTTCTACTTCCATCATTTTCATTTTGATTATGTAGTGTGATGCATGTTCCAATTTTTAAAATTATGCATTTAATTAGGATAATTAAAAAATTTCCATAATAATTTGTTTAAATATTTAATGGATCAGTGACTGTAATGATCTTCTGTTTAGTTTGACTTTTGTGATTGGTTGTTAGTTTCTCAAAAAAACCAGTAATTCTGAATTTTAAATCTTCAATTTTTTTTAATTCATAGTTAACATAAGACAATACAAATTTAAGTGCTTTCTGTTAAATACACAGAGTAGTTAGTGTCGATTATATTCAGCCTATTCATTTACTATACTGAAAATTTAGTTTATCCAAATACTTGTGAATTTCATTTTGCTGAATACTACATAGCTTTGTTGAATATCTAAATATTCAGCTGTTGAATAGTTACTTCTTGCTTTCAAGATATACATTAATTGTATTCTTAATACAAGTGGAGAAAAAAAATAGTTTTAAAATGATAAGTGTAATAATTATAAATAAATATAATAAACAATATGAATTATATTTATCATTATTCATAAATATAACTACTTTTAAATTCAAATTAACATACTAGATAATAAAGATATTCGGTATAACATTAAAAAAAAATTTTTTATACACTTGTACCAAGTTTGTATTTATACTACATAACTTGTAAGTTCCTTATAAATATTAGTTATATGTTCCTTATATGTCAAAAATGCATAATAATAAACTTTTAATTTCCTTAAATATAAAAAAAAAACAATTTTTTTTTCAAAATATAAATATTTAAACAATTTTAGTGCAAAATTTTTCTGCACATGCATTTGAATATAAATTTCTGAGATTTTAAATCTGTTATTTTACCTTAATTTTAATAAAAAAATATTTTAAAATCCGCTGATTACCTATAGTATAATTAAATTTCAATATAATGCATGGCAACTGTTGGTAGTTTTGAAGTTCAAATATTTTCTTGGCAAACTTCAGTTTTTGACGGTTTAAACCAGTATTATACCCTTGTCATGTCAAAAACCCAACCCCGAGTACTCCCCACCAGAATTTTATCATGGATAGAATTCGATGAACGGTTACCACTAGCTGCTGTATTAGTGAAAGACTGGGAGAGCTGGATTAAAGTCGCCGGTTTTTGAGCTTTAGCCATAACAACTGTATTAAGTTTATGGTTGTGCGTGTGATCTCTCCTGTGTTGCTATTAGAAGTCGAGTGTGTGCAGGAACCTTATATGTGTAAATGAGATTGAGAAGCAACAGTGCGAGGAGGACGATGATGCAGTCACAAATAGCAAGCCAACTACTGTTCAATGTGGACCATCCATCAAAGTAGTCGTGATCATATCATGTCCGGGTCACCAATGTGGGGAACGGTCATTAGACAATGCGAATCTTCATCTATCACAAGGTACCTCAAGCTTGACTCAAGTTACCATGTCTTATATACTAGTGAATTGATGTTTAATAATCGTAGTTGTAATAAGCTACAGTCGCATTAGAACTGCACAATGAGCTATTGGCGATGGAATGGGAAACACCCATGAGGAAGATCTGAAGACGAGTCATCGCAATTTTGATCCTCTGTAGAGGCAGGGCTGCCACAAAAAAATTTAACAAAACAGTTACTTTTATTAGCCTAAAGCATGAAAATAGTAGCCAAAAACTAGGAAAATAGTTGCCTAAATAAGAACAAAAATATAACTAAAATTTTGTTAATTGTCATATACCATGACCCATTCAGCCAAGTTGGTAGCAAAACAGATTTTTGATAAATTTTATAAGTATTAAAAAGTTCAAAATTTTTTTTACACCACTTTAATATAAGTAATTTAAAATTGCAAAATCCAAAATTTGAAGAGAATCAATGAACGAGAAATAAAAAATTAAAAATAAGACTTTTTAGAGATGGCGAAATAAGCAAAAAGGTGACCAAATTTTTGACCGCTCTCCTGTCTCAACTATTGCTACTCAATTTTCACGATTGTGATCCCCATTTCTTGAGGGTCAAGGAAAAAAATAAGTTTATTCAGAGAAAGTATCCTTNAAAAAAAAAGATAAGTTTATTCAGAGAAAGTATCCTTTCAGCATCTTATTTCGTAACTTAAAATATTATCTGCACTAATTAATTAGCTTTCATGAGGTTAGTTAGCTTTGAATCATTAAAATCTAATCCTAATAAATTAAAATTTTATCATAAAACAAAAAGATTATTTAGGATTCAGACACGTTTCATAAACCACGTGCAGGGGTCTGTCCAGACATTTTGTGAAAGGTCCTGTTTTTGCAAAAATTGTGAAAAAAATTACTAGTAATTAGTGAATCTATACATATCGCCCCAGAAGCCTCGCCCAGGCACGAAACTCGTCACATAATTGGGTATAATATAGCCTACGTCACAGGTTGTGTTGTTCCTACTAAATTTAACCCATGAACGGCATTTTCTGCGAGCCTAACTTCAAGCCACAAATAAACAAACGAAGTGTTCGATCGTTTAAATAGCTGCTCGCCAGATTTTATTGCATTATAAAGAAAAGTTATTGAAACTAAATACAACTAAATAAACAACAACAACTAAAACAAATAACAACNTGAAAACTGATTACACAAATTCGAAATTCACGCATCGTAATATCGTATAAAAAATTGTTTTATTTTTTAAATCGTTAAATATAAAATTGTTATATATAGCTAGGAGTACAGGAAAGTCTCCCAATAGTTTCCTTTTCCTGAAAATAGTTGCTTTTTTAGCCTTTTCAGGCAAAAAAAGTTGCCATAGTCGCCTCATGCCAAAAATAGTTGCATTTTAGTCGCCTGTGGCAACCCTGAGAGGGGATGGCTCCCCACTATACGGTACAACAGTTTACCAAGGGCCGATACCCACACACCCTTGATCTCTATGCAGACTAATCAAAGCAATCAAAGTGGTTTACCGCCTACTTACTGACCGCAGTCAATTATGCTCGACTGCAGTGTTCTACTGGGAACTGTGTCCTTACAATCAGTCCACTGCGGGCATTAGCGCACAAAAACATAATTTCACTGAGTAGACAAACATTTTTTCAACGGAAAGGATTTTTGATACTCAAAGGAAGGTAGGAAAATAGGTCTCAGTAGTTAAGAAATTAGAGCGGTGGAAAGTTTGGGCCTCTTTATATAAATTTTTTCTTTTGAAAGATATAACTCCATGTTGAAAAATTTCTTTTAGTTTAAAATTTTTGATTAATTTCTTTAGAATTGAAAAATTCTGAATTTTTAAGTACCAGGGGTCTGTCCAGACATTTTGTGAAAGATTCTGTTTTTGTAAAATTATGAAAAAATGACTCGTAATTTGTGAATATAAAACAAACGTTAAGTCACATTCTTTTAACCAGGGTCCTGCTTTTATGAATTTGTGCAAATAGGGTCCTGTTATTGCAAAAAACTTTCTCAAGGAGTTTTTAAAATGTAAATAGACAAGATTATGCTCAACACTATAAAATTATAATATAAAAAAATTAAAATTTCAAAAATAAACAGCAATAGCTGCTTCTAAATTAGAGATGCAACACAAATATATATATATATATATATATTTACATCTTTCTTTTTTTTCCCCCTGGGAGGCGTTTATTCGATTAACAAAACAATAATGAAGATAAACAAATTTGTGAAGGGTCCAATTAAAAGAAAAATCATTTTATGAAGGGTCCGTTTTTATAAAAAGATATTTTGTGAAGGGTCCGTTTTTATGAAAAGATATTTTGTTAACGGACTCAGATTTCTTCTAAACAGATCCCTGAGTACACAAATTTTTTGCAACATTTTAATAATTTAAAATGACAAAATCCAAAATTTGAAGGGAATCGATCACTAAGAGATAAAACTTTAAAAATAAGATTCTAATTCGCATGATCCCAATAATGTTTTAAACGATCCAAAAAATTCTAGAACACAATTATAAAATTTGTTATACAAAGATAACTCCATGTCAAGGCTGGATTACCCATTAGCCCAGAGGCCCTGGGTCCCCTATGACTAGGGGCCCCTTAAAATGGATTTTTTGAAAATAAATTTTAAAAAATTGAGAAAAACAATAATTTTTCAAATTTTTTCAAAATGTTACGATTATTTTTTAGTTCTAATTTAATAAAATAAAGTGAAATTTAATTTATTATTTATTTTTATTTTAAATATGCTTTCTTAAATGAAAAGATATATAAATATTTTATATTTGAATAAATAAAAATATACGAGAAAAAAATTTAATCTAAGAGCCCCAAAAATTTTAATTTAA